GGGGCTCGGGGCTGAACCTCCTCATCAACAATGCTGGAATTGCAAAGATAAACTCACTTGATATGGAGACACTGGAGAGCATGACTGAGATTTACACCACCAACACGATTGGGCCCCTGCTGCTGAGCCAGGTCAGACTTTCACCCAAGCTGGTCCTGGCTCCTGTGCCAAATGGTCTCTTGCCCGACAAGGAGCTCATGGGGCCACGGGCTTGAGCTCAGGAGCTGGAGCTCAGCAGCTAAATCCAGCCGGCTGGGGCAGTGGGAAGAGGAGGGAGGATTCCTCTAGGCAGCAGCTGGTCCACTCCCTTGTGGCATCTCCATGTGTGCCCCTGTCCCCTCCTTCTCCTGGCAGGCATTCCCAGGGGAGCCCGGGCTCAGCGCTGAGCTGCAGCAAGGCCGCCATCGTCAACATCTCCAGCTCAGCAGGGTCCATCCAGGAACTCTATATGTGGGGTCCCACACATGTTGTCTCGTACCGCTGCAGCAAGGTACTGCCCTGCCAGGGACAGATTTCCCTGCCTTGGGTCTGCCCGTGTCCCCTCCCAACACCACCCCTGCCCTGTCTCCCCACAGGCTGCCCTGAACATGCTGAGCAGGTGCCAGTCCCTGGGGTACCGGGAGCACGGCATCCTCTGCGTGGCTCTGCACCCCGGCTGGGTACAGACCGACATGGGCAGCGCAGCCGGATACCAGGTAAGAGTCTCCTCTTGGCCAGGGTCTGGAAGAACCTCTTTATTTGGGAATGCCAAGCTTCCTGTGGGTTGAAGAACCCAGGGATGTTGGTCTCTGGGAAGGCACTTTGTCAGGTGGGTCTGAGGGAACAAAAACAGAGGCGAGGACCTCTCCTTGCCCTGTGTTGGCCTCTCCTCACTCACAGCAGAAAATCCCAAACCCCCAGCAATGATCTGCTCCAGGGCAGCCCCTTCCAGGCCTGACCCAGGGGCTGCCTCTCCCCTCTGCCCCGCAGCCCCCCTTGACGGTGGACGAGAGCGTGCGAGGGATGCTGAAGGTGCTCTCCTCCCTCTCCGAGAAGGACACTGGCACCTTCCTGGACTGGGAAGGGAAGGTGGTGCCCTGGTGAGAGCCCAGGATCCTGGCA